TCTAAGCTGCTAAGTTCATGGTCATTTGTTACATAGTCATAGAAAATGAATACATCTTTCAGGTACTGTGGTCAAGCCCACTTTGTGAATGCATGGCATGGAGGTGGGGAAATGGAGCCAGGTGTGAGGAAGAAAACTATATTGGAGGAAGTTATGGCCCATCCAGTGAGTGAAGGGAGAAGCTCGATGAATACGCAGGCCTGTCCAGTGCCCAGCCTTGGGGAGCTGGAGGGAGAATGTTACCCCACAGCCAGGTCTTGCTGCACTTGGAAGCCATGATCCTAGACAGAGACCCCTTCCCCCTCTTGTAGGTGGCGCTGAGAGGCAAACACTTGGCAGAAAAACACATACTCTTTGTGAGGATGAAAAGATTTTCTTGAATGGAGAGATGATAAAGTGGGATATTTTGAATTAATAGCTAGTTTAAAAACTTCTCTGTCCTTTAGACTTTCCTTCATTCAAACAGCCAGGACTTCTGTCCTCCATGCTTCAAGGAAAGGATGCCATGGGAGAAAATGTAGAAAGCAGAGACTTCTCTGGCTTTGGAGTTTCACAAGCTTGATTCCTTATGAGAGCCATAGGGGAGTTGGGGTGCAGAGAAAGGCTTGGAGGACACGGGTAAGAACAAATCTCCCCTGTGTGATGCCCTGAGCTATCAGAGAAAGGAAGCAGAGGTAGAAGGATCCCCAGGTAGGTGGCTCTTTGTCTTTCTCTGTGGTGGAACTACAGAGAAACAGAAGCAAGCCCCAGAAAAGTCTGTGGGATCTGGAAGCACGTGGGATATGAGCCTGTGTTGTGGGACAAGCCCTGGAAAGATGACAAGATGCTGGAGACATTTAAATATCTAGTTGCCACTGTTCCCACTGCCTAGCCCAGTGGACATGCTCCAACAATAATTGTCCAATGAAAGAATGCACATAGCAGGAGTGCTCTAAAAATACCAGGAAGACGTTCTTCACCAGCAGCAGGGAAAGCTGATGAGGGTCATGAGATTCTGACTCCCGTGAAGGCTGAGATATCTGCACACCTGGCAGCCCCAAAGCACAAGGAGGTCCTGCTGCCCAGATGAAGACCCTGGTAGCCCAGAATTCTGACGTGGGCAGCCAAGTCATCTATGCTTTAGGAGTGGTTGTTCCTGGGGCTGTACCTGGGACATGGCCTCTCCAGCCTTGCTCTCTGCCTGGGACCACCTGATCCTTGTTCTTTGGACTCTGTCTAGGACACTCAGAGGGGTGACCCTGTGGCTTCTCAGACCTGAGCCCTTGTTGGAGCTGTGCCATTCTACTTTGCAGCTGGGATGTGAAGCAGTGCAGCAGCTCCCCATCATCACCTCTCTCCTGTGTTAAATTGCCCAGAGGTGTTATTAAGAACACCAGTGAATTAGCTGTTGGGCCAGAGAGACTCTTTTATCATAATTTGTGTCAGGCTGACCCCCTGGAATCTGATGAGGTCTTTGGGTGCTGGCAGCACCAATTTTTAACCATTATTTTTTTCTATTACAGATGATTCTTTTCCACATTGGAGTCAGACAGAGGTCGGCTTGAGCCTAGCTCATGAAGATTAATACCAGTGGTTTTGCTGGGTCCAGGGTTGCCTTTCTTTCATTAATGCAACATATTCAGCATATATTCTCATTGCCTGGAAGCTTGAGGATGGGCAATATTCAAAGGGGTTTGGAATGATTGCTTAATTAAACCAAAGATAACAGAGGGCTGTAGTCATGCTGGAGGGCAGGAATGGAAAACCCATTGTCTGAACTGTTCAAGGCTCAGTTCAAATACTGCTCCTGTCCCAGGGAAGATTGGTAGATTGTGTGAGCCTCGGATATTTCACCTGTAAAGTAGGTAACTGTCCTGACTTCATATCACTGTTATGAAAATTGAAGGACATGATAGTTTTGGTACCTGCTGGGCATTTTTGTAAGCCAAGTACTGGGCTCAGTCACTCAGCAGTGGTTTTTTCAGCTGGGGACACTGGACAACGTATGGAGACATTTTTGGTTGTCACAGTGGGAAGAGGGAGTGCTTCTGGCATTTCGTGGGTGGAAACTGGTTAACACCCCATAGTGCACAGGACAGCCCCACTACAGGGAATGATTTGGTCCCAAATGTACACAGAGAAACCTGTTTTAAAGTTAACAAAGAGTGAATCCTGTTCAATAAATGGAAGGTCTGGTTATGAATAAGGAAAACACAGGAACGTGCTTTCTTTACAATGGGTGGATGTAAAAGATTATTTTCAGTTATAACACTTTGTTTTTTATGGTCAGTATGTTCACATGGTCCAAGATCTGAAAGGTACACAGGGCATACATACAGTGCAAATTCTTCCTACTACTCGGCCCCTTCCCTGGAGGAACCAGTGTTACCAATTTCTTATTGATTCATCCAGAGGTCCTCTATGCATCTAGAAGTAATTGTATGTGCATATATCCACATATACATTACATACACATATATATGCATACTCCACACATTCTCTGCATCTTGCTTTTGTTACTCAATCCATCTTGGAGGTAGCTTCTTATTGGGCACCAAGACCTTCCTCATTTTTTTTTTTAAAGATTTTATTTATTTATTTTTAGAGAGGAAAGGGAGGGAGATAGAGAGAGAGAGAGAGAAACATCAATGTGCGGTTGCTGGGGGTTATGGCCTGCAACCCAGGCATGTACCCTGGCTGGGAATCGAACCTGCGATACTTTGGTTCACAGCCCGTGCTCAATCCACTGAGCTACGCCAGCCAGGGCCATTTTTTTCTTTTAAAGGTGACACAGTATACCATACTGTGGATATATTTTATTTAGACACTTCCCTCTGGATGGATATTTTCTTTTGCGGTCACAAGCACTAATGCAATGAATAACTGTATAAGTACATGGTTTTCCAATGTATAGCTATATATATCTGTAGGATAAAGTCCTACAAGTGCTATTGCCAAATAAGAAAGTTCCTGCATGTGTGATTGTGCTGGAAGTTGCCAAATTACCCTCCACTGGAGCTGTTCTGTTTCTAGTCCCCACTGGCAGCGAATGTAGTAGAGAAGTTGAGGTGATTTTGTAATTTTAAAAATTTGCTCTCACTGTTTATATCTTCTCATCAAAACACTTCTGGGAATAAATAAGTAGTGGATGAGCCTTATACTATTTTGTGCCCATCATATTCTCAGTGTCTAGGGGCCCAGCATCTGCTGACAGGAGTTCTTTTAAGCATTATGAAGTTAAAGTCGACGGGAAGTGGCATTTGCTTTCTCCAGAAAAGGGCTATTTAGTTCCTGCTTCCTGGTGCTAATAGTTCCCAAATGACTAGCTTCTCAAAGAGTTTACATGTAGGAAAATCTCTCTCAGCAAATCTCCCTCTGAGTGTCTGTTCAGCTTTATTTTTAAAGTTTCTGATTTGAGGGCCCCTTTGAGAGTCTGAGGAAGCAATAAAACCCTCTCCCCGGAAAATGGCACCAGCAGTTCGCACGTCCTTCAGGGAGTGGCTCTCAGGATAGGAGAGAGGCTCATGCTGCCAGGCACCCCTCCCTGCCCCTTCCTCCCGAGAGAGGTCTGCAGATTCCCAGTTCAGAACTGGGCAGAACCAGTTCTGTATGGCAGGGTTCCAGGCCTGACTCCTCCCTTCCACACTGCCTGGCCAGGTGACTGGGCACTTACTCAGCTTTAGTTTTCTCATCTGTGGAATGGGGACAACACTGCTTTGCAGTAGTGTATTAGAGACAATGAAGGCAAAGCACCTAGCACAGTACTTGACATCAAGCCCATGTCTGAGAAATGGAGCTATTGTTATTCTTATTACAGTGGAGTCCTTTGTGAGGGGATTCTGGAACAACCATGTTCCTTCTTGTCACAGAGACCTCACATATGCTGTTCCCTCTGCCTACAACACTTTTCTTTCCTCTTGTCACTCAAGGTCTCTTTCTCTTGCAGCTCAACTGTTCCATCTCAGAGACCCCTTTCTTGCCTCTCCAATTTCAGATCACCTTACTCTGGCCATCTTCTTCTGGAGAAACTCTCCTTTTCCTTCTTGGTGCCTCTCCAATTTGTACTGAGATCTATTAGTCTGTATGCTTGCCTGATATGTGTCTGCCCCAGTGGACAATATGCTCTAGGTGAGCTGGGAGGACCTGAATAGGCAAGGGTCCTGTGGCAGGTGGGACTGAGTGGAGGCACAGGTAGGAGGATTTTGTGAGATGGAGGGAAGCACTCAAGGGGGAGAGAGATGAGAAAGGCCAGGAGAGACCAGGGGCCAGGACCTGGGGACCTCCTAGGCCACAGGAAGACAAAATTTGCATTCTCTTCTAGAGGGTTAATCCGCCAGTATTAAGCAGGGTAGTTGCTTGATCTAATTGAGTTCTTTAAATTGTAAAGTTTGATTATTATTATTTTTTGTTCTCACTTGAGAGCATGCTCATTAATTTGAGAGAGAGAGGGAGACAGAGAGAGGGAGAGAGAGAGAGAGAGAGAGAGAGAGAGAGAGAAACATTGATGTGAGAGAGAAACACCAATCAGCCACCTCCTGCTCGTGCCCTGACTGGGACTGAACCCACAGGTATGTGCTCTTACCAAGAATCAAATCTTTCATTTTATGGGATGATACTCCGACCAACAGAACCACACCGGTCAGGACAAGTTTTTATTATTTTTATAAAATTCTTTTAATAATTTACTTTAAAGAAAAATCATCAGCCACTGTGTGAAAGGCAGGGTGAGGGTGAGTGTGGGCCTGGGGAGCAAGGAGATCCCTTAGGGGGCTGCAATCCTAGTCCTGATTCTGTCTGTAGGTCAGGGCTCCATAGCCCATGGGTTTCTAGAAACTGCCCTGAGATCCCAGGGTATTCTAAGTGAGCGCTTCTTCCAGGGAGTGCCCCAAGTTACACGAGCTACCTTGGTCTCTCCGGAGCTGAGCCAGAATGGGCTCTCCCTCAGGGAATGACAGATGTCGGGACAGAAGTCCCGTCGACTTTCCACCAGCATTAGTGGACTGACTGCAGGCGGAACTTACCTGAGATTGTGGTGAAGTGGGACGGGGAGGTCATTGTCACGAAGGGTGGGGTGAGGTACTTGGCTTTCACGCCCTCCCGGGCCAGGCGGTCCATGTTGGGGGTGTCCACATCCTGGTCGTAGTCCCAGCGGAAGCCATCAAACGAGATCAGAAGCAATTTGTTGAAGCTCTTCTTCCCAGGAATGGGGTGGCTGCTGGCCAAACCCAGTAGAATGGACAGCAACAGCCCGAGGACCCTGAGCCCCATTGTGCTGTGAGAGCCTCACACGCGCACATTGCAGAGTTCATGGGCTGGCTCCTATTTTCTCCCTTTTTTATCTGTGGTTGAACAAAGTTCAGATTGATAATTCTGCCCCAGCTCTGCTGAGGGTCAAAACACCCGGACTGTAACAGGGTGGTACATTTTCTATGATGAGAACGTTCTGGAAATAGTGGTGATGTTTGCACAATCTTGTGGATGTACTTAATGCTACCAAATTTTATACTTTAAAATGGTAATAATGGTCAATTTTATGTTACATGTACTTTACCCTGATAAGAAAAGTCAAATCGTGTGAAATATTTTGGACTCATATTAATTCCACTGCTGTAAAGATTTGGGGAATAAATTAGATCGGTGCTTTCATTTGCTCAGTGCATCCTGTTTTATGGGGAGAACAAATGACTGGTTATTATGATTATGAAAACAGTCAGCATGGATTAAGTACCCATAAGGGCTGGGAACTGTATATACATGATCTATTCTATTTAATTATTATTTTTGAAATCTCAGGAAGCTGCACTGGCTGGTGTGGCTCAGTGGATTGAGCACTGGCCTGGGAACCAAAGGGTTACTTGTTCGATTCCCAGTCAGGGCTCATGCCTGGGTTTGTGGTTGCTAGAGAGGCAACCACACATTGATGTTTATCTCTTTTTCTCCTTCCCTTCACCTCTGTCTTTTTCAAAAAATATATTTTATTGATTATGCTATTACAATTGTCCCATTTCCCCCCTTCACTCCCCTCCACCCTGTACACCCTCTCCCATCCACATCTCCCATTTAGTTCATGTGTCATACCTATAAGTTCTTTGGTTTCTACATTTCCCATACTATTCTTACCCTCCCTCTGTCTATTTTCTACCTACCATCTATGCTACTTATTCTCTGTACCTTTTACCCCCTCTCCTCCTCCCACTCCCCTGTTGCTAACCTTCTATGTGATCTCCATTTCTGTGGTTCTGTTCCTGTTCTGGTTGTTTGCTTAGTTTGTTTTTTTGTTTTTGTTTTATGTGTGGTTGTTAATAATTGTGAGTTTGCTGTCGTTATACTATACAAGTTTTTTCTTTATCTTTCCTTAGATAAGTCCCTTTAACATTTCATAAGATAAGGGCTTGGTGATGATGAACTCCTTTAACTTGGCCTTATCTGAGAAGCACTTTATCTGCCCTTCCATTCTAAATGAGAGCTTGGCTGGATAGAGCAATCTGGGATGTAGGTCCTTGTCTTTCGAGACTTGGAATATTTCTTTCCAGCCCCTTCTTGCCTTGAGGGCCTCTTTGCAGAAATCAGCTGACAGTCTTATGGGAACTCCTTTGTAGATAACTGTCTCCTTATCTCTTGCTGCTTCTAGGATTCTCTCCTTCATTTTTACCTTGGCTAATGTAATGATGATGTGCCTTGGTATGTTCCTCCTTGGGTCCAACTTCTTTGGGACTCTCTGAGCTTCCCAGACTTCCTGGAAGTCTATTTCCTTCTCCAGATTGGGGAAGTTCTCCTTTATTATTTGTTCAAATATGTGCTCAATCTGTTGCTTTTCCTCTTCCTCTTCTGGTACCCCTATAATTCAGATGTTGGAACATTTCAAGATGTCCTGGAGGTTCCTAAGCCTCTCCTCATTTTTTAAATTCTTGTTACTTCGTTCTTTTCTGTTTGATTGCTTTTTTCTTTCTTCTGGTCCACTCCATTGATTTGAGTCCCAGTTTCCTTCCCATCACTATAGGTTCCCTGTACATTTTCCTTTATTTCACTTACTGTAGCCTTCATTTTTTCATCTAATTTGCACCCAGAATCAACCAATTCAGTGAGCATCCTGATCACCAGTGCTTTGTACTGTGCATCTGATAGGTTAGCTATCTCTTCGCCGCTTAGTTGTAATTTTTCTGGAGCTTTGATCTGTTCTTTCATTTGGGCCATTTTTTTTGTCTTTTTGTACCTGTTACATAGTGAGGGGTGGAGCCTTAGGTGTTCACCAGGGCAGGGCAACCCAGTCACTGGGTTGTGATGTTGTATGTGGGTCAGGGGCCCAACAGGGAACAATGGCACTTGCTCTGCCCTCTGGTGAATTTCAGTACCTTCCGCTGCTTCCCCTAAGCAAACTGGGCCCTCCTGGTGCTAATTCCCGTGTGGGTGGGTTTGTGTACATTCTAGGACCCTGTGGGTTTCTCCAATGAACTCTCCTGTGAGGCTAGGAGTCTCTCCTGGCACCTCAAACCCCACAGGTGTTTTCAATTGGTGTTTTGAGGCTTTATTTCCCCATGCTGGGACCCTGGGTGGTGTGGTCTGTCTCACTCCCCAGTTTTGCCTGGTGTATCTGTGTGTGAATATGGGACCACCTGGTCCCGCAAGCCACCTTGCGCACCTAGCCCCTTCACAATCCACTGCCTAGCTAGGTCCACCTGCTGTCACCTTGAGCACCTGGGGTCCGCCAGCCACCACTTTTTTTTTTTTTTTTTTTTGTCAAGATCACTGTCCTCCCAGCTGCCCAACTCTGCCCTTCCTACTGGTCTGGATGAGTGTGTCTACTTTAACTCCTTGGTTGTCAGACTTCCATACAGTCCAATTTTATGTGAGTACTGGTTGTTATTTTGTCTCTAAATTGTTGTTGTCCTTATTTTGGTTGTGCGAGGAAGCACAGTATGTCTACCTGCTCCTCCATCTTGTCCAGAATTCTCCCTGCTCTGTCTACAAAAAAAAAAAAAAGAAAAAAAAAGAAGGTGAAATTCATCATGAATTTGCCTGGGTTATTTAAAAAAAATCTTTGGAAACTTATTAGTTGAAAATTTCCCATAAGAATTCTAAAAAAAATTATTGTGGTCAAATACACATAAGATAAAATTTACCATTTTAAGTACTTGCAAGTAATATTTGCAAATTCAGTGATATTTAGTATATTCCCAATTTGTACAACAATTACGACTATCTAGTTCCAGAATATTCTCATCATCCCAAAAGGAAACCCTGTACCCATTAGCAGTCACCCCTCATTCCTCTCTCCTCTGGCCTCCAGCAACCACTAATCTGCTTTCTATCTGTTCAGATTTATCTTTTCTGGACACTGCATATAAGTGGAATTATACAATATGTGGTCTTTTGTGTCTGATTTCTTTCAATGTGCATAATGTTTCAAGGATCATCCACATTGTAGCATGAATCAGTGCTTTATTCCTTTTCATGGCTGAATAATATTCCATTGTATGGACATTTTACATTTTATATATCTATTCACCAGCTAATGGACATTTGGGTTGTTTCTACCTTTGGCTATTGTGAATAGTGCTGCTATGAATATTTGTGTACAGGCTCTGGTTTGAATAATCTCTGTTTTCCACTTAATTTTTACAATGTGTGAGGTAGTTTTTACTTTGTAGCTGAATAAGTAGCTCATAGAGGCTCTAAGAGACCAATCCAGGTTCACACAACCCAAGTGAGGTCAGGATTATCGTTTTAATACTTGGCTAAATATTTTCTGGGCACAGGGGTATTACATTCCCCACAGGAATAAGTTGCTTTGAACACACGTGTCTTCCCATCTATTCCACATTTATTGTGCAGGATGCAGAAGTACAAATATGGAGCTTGTCTGTGTGTGGCTCAGAGTCCCGGAAACAAGGGTTATGTGCAGTGGAAAGGTCCTGCTGGTGGTGCATGTGGGAAGTGATGTGGGAGCAGATCCTAACCCTGAGAAGCTGGGCAGGGGCAGGCTTCCTGGAGGAGGTGGTGCTAGACTTGAGTTTTGTAGGCATGGATGAGTTAGCCTCTTGGACACACCTACCCTCAGCCACTCATTCAGATAAGACAACAGCAACCTAACAGATCCCTGCCACTGGCCTTTTCCTGTGGGTGCATGGACGACACTTACCTTTGCACTTTTAGAAAGTTCTGTGAATTTTATAAAGATGTCACCAATGGGTTTTCTCATGGCAGTCTGCCTGGGTTTTCAGTTTAAGTTTGTGTCTTGACATGGTGGGCTGAAGGCTGAATGTCAGATTCAGATGAGATGATCCATTTCCCTCTTGCAAAATTGCCTGAGAATTCTGTTCCAGGCATTTGCTTAGGTCAAATCTTTGGGGTGAGGAGGTGGTGTGTCAGGGGAGCTCCATTCTGTATTTGTATAACTTGGCTTGTTAGCACTGTGTTTTGCTGTACGAGGGATTTTCATAGAATTTTGTGACAAGTATGCAGCATTGTGATTGAGAGTGTTTTGAAGCTTGCCAGGCCTGGGTTTACATCTCGGCTCTGCCACTTACTATCTATGACACTCTGGGGCAAGTCTCACAACCTCTCTATTCCTCTGTTTTTTCTGTGTAAGAAGGAATGATGATGTATTTCCCAAGATTGTGAGGCTCTGATAAGATAATACGTGTCAGCAAGAATGCTTACTGCTCATGCGATATCCATGTGCTCCCTGTCATTTCCCAGACTCCTTGTAATTGATGGCCAGTATGCTGTGAGTAGAAGCCACATACATCACTTCCAGCCCAGAGCTTTCAAAGGCTAGTGCATAACCATCCTGCTTTCTCATCCCACCCTCAGTAACTGTGAAGACTTGTGTTGAGATGGAGAATTTCCGTCACCCTAGGTCTCTGAGTGACCATATGGAGCATAGTCCCCCTAACCTATGGGGGACTTGGAATGTGAAATCAGCCTCTGTTGCCAAAGCCACTAATATTTTGGTGTTCATTTGCTACTGTGATATAACCTAGTCTATCTTGGCTAATGCAGCATGTTAAGCATGGTCCCTAGTTATAGTAAATGCCCAACAGATGTTAGTTACTTTTAGCATAATAATAAATTGCTACTGATAGTTTCATTTTTCTGATCTGATGAGGCCATTTATTGACAAACTCCACTTGGTAGTTTTTCCAGCATGCAGGAAGGACAGACAATTAAGGGCCAATAAATAAGAACCATTAGCCATAGTTTGTGTCCCTGGATGTCCCTGGTGACAATGAATGATGTATGCTACTCTGGGACAGCCAGGCCCAGAG